GATAATTTTACTGGTTGATCGTGATATGCCGTGAATACGGTTTCCCGCAGAAACACGAGGAATTAACATAGAGCTATACGGGAGCGAGTTAAGGAAGAAAAAAAATTTTATTGCGCGTACCCGTAAAACGGGTGCCATGCATTTATTCTCTTGCTATTTACCCTTTGCCCCAAGGGCGTGCGTGTTATTTTCGCTATAAAGGATCGTGAGAGAAAGCGGAGAGAGCAAGGTAAAGAAGGGGTTGGAGGGAAGGACGTGTGTAAAGGAAGAAGAAAGGTGGGTAGGTAGGAAGAGATTACGTATATATATAGATATACACAAGAAGAGTATGTACGAGTAAAAGTAGAGCGAAATATTAAAAAGCACTCAGCCGCTCTCGAAATTCATGTAATCTAGAAAATTGTAAAAGAGGGTCATCCCGGCAACTTTATCCCATAGGCGTGCCATGGTAAACAACGAGACGCAACGAGAATTATTGTGCTGCACCTTCTCCGTCTTTCTCCTGCATGTCGCAAGAGTCGTAGGACTGAGGAGGGGGAGGATAGCAATCCAGGTTAAAGACACGTCACAAAATTAATGCACCAATAAATATTTAGAAACGTATAATTTTCTTGTACGCTATGCAAAAGCGACGAGCCGTACATTCATTCCGTCGCTATTTACTCTTTGCTCGTCGGACATTTATCATTTTTACGAGGGTGTATCGTTGGCGGAAAGTCGCGTGGGGGACGCGCGAGGAGGGACGAAAGGTGCACGAGACCGTGGATTAGGGCGGAATATTGGAAATGAATTTAACTGCACTCCGAAATTATTTGATTTAAATATGAAATGACCGACATTTTCAGTTATGCACGACCGCAGAAAAGCAGTTCTTAAACATGGTTCTACTTTCCTTCTTTTTTTATTTATATATGCTGCATCTCGAATAAAATCTATTAACATCTGATAAAAGGAAAATTGACTGTCGTTCGTTCGCAAGCTCTCGACAGTCTGTATTCACATTTACTGCGCGCCTGTTTATTTTATCTACTGATTTTTAAGAAGGTTCTTGCGTTTGATGAAATATAAAACAAGTTATATATATATATATATATATATATATATATATATAGGTAT